AGCCTCCACACACACATGCACAGAGGTGCATATGCACCTGCTCACATAGGAACACACACACACACACACACACACACACACACACACACACACACACACCACACGCATGCACGCAAAGAAAATCTGAGGCCAGCTTGGGCTATAAAGTGAGACCTTTCTTCAAAAAAATTTTTTAAGTATATAAAGGGATTGCTAGTATTTCCATAAGGTTATTCATACCTTCTTCCCACAGCCCTGACAACCACCTATCTGCCTTCTGTTTCTAATCTTATTCTGGACATTTCATGCTCTGAGACCCTGTCTCAAAAAACAAAGCAAAACAAAAAAGGATCCCATGTGACAGTTGACAGTCCTCAGTTGTATTTTTGTGCCCCCAAAGTTGAGGTAGAAGTTGGATAACTTCACCTAGTCCCTCATTCTTGCCAGTGTAGGGACCAGGATCTGGGCTTTCACTTAAATGCTGTCACTTGGGTTCTTTTTTTCTTTGATTTGTGTGACTACCTGAAGCTGGGGTGGCTTTTGTCCTCTGCTGAGCCTCATGTCCTATTGTGTCTTGGGTCCTCACGGTCTTGGTAGGAACCCACATCTGATCTACTAGCTGAGTTCCTTTGCTTTCCTCTTTAGGTCCTTCCAGCCAAGGTGAAGGACTACATCTGGGCCTTCATGCATCAACCTACTCTAGTCATACAGAGATTAGGCAACAGCTGAATGTTATAACCTGGACTTAATGTGTGTGTGTACACACAAGATTGGTGACAGTTGACTGTCTCACCTAGAACCTTCTACTTCTGGCCAGTGCATATAGAGATTCTGTGGTAGTTGAACATACTAGCTTATTAGACTTGATACCTTAGCACCAGTTGGCACCAATAACTAAGGTGAAGGACTGGGGAGATGACTCAGTGGTTAAGTGAGCTTGCTGCTCTTATCGAGGATCTGCGTTGTTAGCACCCATGGTCAGGAATCTGATGCCCTCTTCTGCATTCTGAGGGAACCTGAGCATGTACATTTAGACACATGCACAGAGACTAAAATAAAAAATGCGTATTAAAAAAAGTCCGAACTGGTGAGGGGGTGGAGAGATTGCTCAGCAATTAAGAGCACTGGCTGCTCTTGCAGAGGAGCTTGGGTTTGGTTCCCAGCACCCACATGGCAGCTAACAACCATTTGTAACTCCAGTTCCAGGGGATCTGACACCCTCTTCTGGCCTCTGTGTGCACTGCACACATGTAGTACACTTAGGCAAAACACTCATACACATAAAATATAAATAAATACATCATACATAAAAGAACTAATGTGCCAGATGACTTGTCATCATATCTGTCATCGTTTTCCTGTACGGGTTCCCATAGCTGAGGTGACCCTTAACTCAAAGGAGTCCAAAATGCCATGTCAACTGAGAGTCTTTGCTAGGTCTCTCATGACTGTACCTCATTTTAGATATTCAGAGCTGAAGTGACGTGTCAATATCCTTACTGTAGATCACAAGCCTTTTCCTCATTGTAGGCTCTCAGAGCTGACAGCTGAATGTCCGCATCCAGGACCCTCATCTCTGTGTCTCATAAACACTTAGAGTAAGGTGACACAGCAAAGGGTTCTCATTAGAGCCTTGGCCTCTATTCCAGTGTATGCACCCAGAGCAGGATCAGGTTGTCCCCCACACTCCTTCCTCCTGCTCACTCACAGTCACTCCCATGTTGGGGTCCCTGCTGCACTTCTGGCCCCTCCTGTTGCAGCACTGCTCAGTTCCAGGGGATCTGACACCCTCTTCTGGCCTCTGTGTGCACTGCACACATGTAGTACACTTAGGCAAAACACTCATACACATAAAATATAAATAAATACATCATACATAAAAGAACTAATGTGCCAGATGACTTGTCATCATATCTGTCATCGTTTTCCTGTACGGGTTCCCATAGCTGAGGTGACCCTTAACTCAAAGGAGTCCAAAATGCCATGTCAACTGAGAGTCTTTGCTAGGTCTCTCATGACTGTACCTCATTTTAGATATTCAGAGCTGAAGTGACGTGTCAATATCCTTACTGTAGATCACAAGCCTTTTCCTCATTGTAGGCTCTCAGAGCTGACAGCTGAATGTCCGCATCCAGGACCCTCATCTCTGTGTCTCATAAACACTTAGAGTAAGGTGACACAGCAAAGGGTTCTCATTAGAGCCTTGGCCTCTATTCCAGTGTATGCACCCAGAGCAGGATCAGGTTGTCCCCCACACTCCTTCCTCCTGCTCACTCACAGTCACTCCCATGTTGGGGTCCCTGCTGCACTTCTGGCCCCTCCTGTTGCAGCACTGCTATGCTATCAGGTTCCCCACCCACAAGCTCTGATATGTCCTTTTCAGTCTGTAAAAGCTGGGGTGCTTCCAAGGGGTTTGCAACAGCACTCTAAGCATAAAGATCCTTTATGGGGCCAGGACCAGCCTCTCGCGCCTTTCTTTGCTTTTTCTTTTCCCAGAGATTCAATACCTTCCTCAGCCCATATTTGAGGCTTTGAGAACCCCAAACCACCCATCAAAGTGGCCGAGACTTTAAAATGCTTTCTTGGGCGCAGACATGAGGCTGGCGCCCTCTGGTGGTGCGCAGGGGACGGTGTGGGAGCATCTTCAGGAAAGCTCTGCCAGATTCCACCATCTTAGGGTTGACAAACTTCATCTCATCTCTAGTCTTTCACAAAACCTTGTCTACCCATTGCAGCCACATGGCCACTGTACCAGGAGTCAAGAGAAAGCCCTTTGGTGGTCTAGAGTTATTGGGTTAAAGAGGAACTGTGCCCCCCCCCCCAGTGTGTCAGAGTGACATTCATGAGATCCCCAGGAAATGACTGTGCAGAGGTCGTATTAAGACCTCAGTTGGGCTTTGTGCCTCTCTGGGAGAGGCTGCTTATGCTGTCTACTTGCTTTTTCACCCACTGTAGTAAAAGTGCTGAGCTAGGTTGGAAAGCATCACAGCTCAGTCCACAACCCTTAGCCCCAGGGCACAAGGGGGGCAGAATTGCTTACTGGTACACACATTTGCTCTGCTAGCTGCCAGTCACACCTCAGTGGGATCACCAGCTCCCTCACCTCAGCCTTTGGTGTGACCCCTGCTCCAGAAGACCATAGGCACCGGGAAGATGGAGGACAAAGGCCTGCCCTTGTGTCAAAGCCTGGTCTCCAGCCCTGTCCGTGAAGCCCTGCTGGCTACTTCACAGGGCCTTGGCTAGGAGTGTATCTTTCATGCCTGAAAACAGTAAGAATATTCTAAAGAAACATTTGCATCCTTTCTTTTGGTTTATCAGCTGTAAAACAAGGCATCCAGTGAACTGGAATTTCCCTCAGGAATCTCATGCTGGGAGAAGCAAAAGGCTAAACCCTGTGTCAGCCAGAGAGGGACCTTGTCTCCAGGGAAAGAGATTTCATAGTATAATTTGTCAGACCACCTTGCAGGATGAGACTGAAACCCCGAAAATAATGGGTCAATAGGTGGGTCCTCCAACGGGTGAGACTGTATCTTGACTAGGATTTCTTAGCTCTGGCCCTGTACTTAAAATTTTAACATCATGTCAGGACACTAAAGATGGACTTGGTATGTATGGGGTCACTGGATATAAATCTTTTGGTCTTTTTGAAACAGGGTCTCCCTGTAGCCACAGCTGGCCTGGAACTTGCTCTGTAGACCAAGCTGGCCTTGATCTCACAGAGATCCACTGGTCTCTGCCTCCGGAGTGCTGGGATTAAAGGTATGTACCACCATGCCTAGCTTGTGGTTTTTTTTTTTGAGATAGGGTCTCCCTGTGGCCCCAGCTGGCCTGGAACTTGCTGCATAGACCATGCTAGCCTCTGCCTCCCAAATGCTGGAATTAAAGACATGCACCACTATACCTGGTCTTTTCTGATTTTCACTACAAATTTGGCTCTTTGAATTGGCTTATATTGAGGATGGGTGGCTAAGTATGGCTTGTTAGGGCTCTGTACCTACCCCCCATCAAGTTACTTCCTTCCCTATTCAGGGTGCGGATGAAACCCTCCTCCTACAATCTGGAGGTGCCACTTCCTCTACTTAAAGCAGGAATCACACACAGGGATGCAGTGTGCACACTCATTATGAGGTGGAGGTGGTGCCATACACCATCCTAGCTAATGGAGAGCAACAAACTTGCTCATCATTCAAGTTTCTTCTTTCATCCATTTTTTCTTGAAGTCAGGGCCCTCAGTTTGTCTTCCAACATCACCCTAACTAGCCTATTTGCCATCCTGGCTAGGTGAACAGGCTAAGGCAGCTGGTTCTCAATGGCAGGCTAAGAAAGGCCTGAATGTCTCAAACACGAAGCTCTAGAGGACAGAGAAGGGGCAAGCCCAACTTAGTTTTGTTCCCAGCAGCCTCTTGCTGACAGCCTGAGGACCCCTCAGTTCTGGAACACTGGGTCCTACAGCCTACATGCATGTCCTTAGCTCTCTGCCAAGAGCACAATGTTCCTCACTTGGCCATTCTCTGGATCACTGGTTTGCTTCCTCTATAAATGCTGTACCCTTTAATCATTGTCCTATCAGCTTGATCTATTAGAACCCAGGCCATGAGTGCAAAGGTAACAGTACTGTTTTCTGCCACCTTCCTGGGACTCAGCTCAGAGCAGAGGCTCAGCAGATGGGAGGCTGGAATGTTTGGGACTGCTGTCCTTGTTTTGGGCAAGGCAGTGGGTTGAACCAAATTCCTGACAACAAAGTCTTACAATGTGAGTTTCTTTAGCAAAAGGGTGCCTGCAGGTGTAGGAAGTTGACAGCATATGGGAGTAAGGTGGGCACCCATTCCGAGGTGACAAATATCGTAAGAGACAGACATCAGACATAGTGGGCAGGTAGAAGCTGGAGTGACAGCCACAAACCAGTAATGCCTGCGCCTCTTGAAGCTGGAGAGAAAGGAGTCTCCCCTAGAGCCTCCACACCTTGACTTTGGGTTTCTGGCATCTAGCATGGAGCAAAGGAACTTGCACAATTTTCCCTGTTAGAAGCACTTGTCTTTGTTATGGTCACTACAGAGAGGTCACTGGCAGATCATGAAAACTGAGAACTCTGGCTCTTCAGAAGCTTGGGTATCATTTCTGACTATCCCTTCTCCCTTGCTTCCAGTATCAATCCTGAAATCTCTGAACTCTCCTTCCTAAATATTTCTGGCATCTGTATGTAGACTGGCAATGTTGGCTAAAATACCAGGTGGGGAAGGGAGGTGGTTGGATGAAACTAGCTGTTGTTAGCCTGCATGAACAGTAAAAAGTAGTTGAGGTGTTCTGTGGAAGGTGAAAGTAAGGGTGACCTGCCCTTGTACTTTAAGCCAGTCTCAATGACAAATACCCACGGAAAGGCGCTCTCTGCTGGGAACAGATACAAGGAAGATGCCTGGCAGACTGGAGATTGCTGAGGGAGGCAGGAAGGGAGGGAGTCTGTAGCAGAGGGCAACATGGGATGTAGGGAAGTGACAGGTCTCTCCTTCACGGTCCTGGGTGGCAGGGAGGAAATGAGAATGGGACAGGTGTAGCTCTTAAGACAATTTAATGGCAGTGTTAGGGTGGGGATCCTAACTGCTGCTTCTGCCTTTCTTGTGGTGGGGAGGCTGCCTATGGGTGCAGTGAGGGTGGCCATGGAGTGCAGAATTGGTTAGAGGACATCTGGGGTCCAATACATTGTTGGGCAGCATGAGGTCTTTTGCAGCTGGTGATGAGGAATGTCAAGTGGCCCTAAGGTTGGTGTGGCCATGGGAAGGTCCTCTCACATGGATGTCCTTGACTACTTCCCTCGACTTCTGAGGAGCTTGCCCAAAGCCACTGGAGAATGTGGTTTGGTCATTGTCCCTTTGAGGCCCAACACTCATCCCCATAGTTCCTAACTCCTGTCCTAAGAAGTCCTGGGACAGAGTGACAGCTCTTCTTCCTTCCAGGAGCTAGAGTGAGGGGAGGAGGTGATTAAGGGCCCATGGAGAGATGGGTGGCTCAGATAGGGCCTATGAGCACCCTGTAAGCATTACAGCGAGACTCTTGAGTGCTTGGTAGTTGAGGAATGTAGCTGGGCTCAGGTGGCAGCAGTGGTGGCGGTAGCAGCAGCAGCAGCAGCAGCACAGGGCAGAGAGTGGTGGCCCGAGTCCAGGGACAGGAATGCATGGTTGAGGCCTATGGTCCTGAAGTCCTCCCAATATGGGGTCAATAGTCCTGATACAGGGATGGGTGAAGGGAAGGGTAGACACAGACAGGATGGCCAGGAGGGGTAAGGTATGGATGGGGTATGTTCCCAGTGCTCAGAGCTTATGGGGGTTCACCCACTTGTAGGTGCCCTCATACTGGAAGCCCACTCTTTTCATCAGCTCATCTGCTTCTGTGGGGCCACGGCTGGAAGCAAGACAGATAAAGGGGAGATGTGAGGGACCCTTGCCCCTGACCATTCCTCCTGTTCTACCTTGTTTGGCTTGGCACCCCTAGCCCATCTTTCCCTCACCTGCCATAAACATAGGGGGTGGGCTGGGGTTTCTCATGATCGATCTTGTGCAACAGCGGTGTGAAGATGCGCCAGGCCTCCCGGAGTTCGTCACTGAGGGGATACAGTATGGCTTTGGGATTGAGTGGGGCACACGGGGAGGAAGGAAGAAGGCCATCTCTATTGCCTGCTCTTTCAGGGCAGCTTCTGTGTTAGGCTGCTTACCTGCGGACAAAGTGCATCTGGCTTCCACAGAACACGTCCAGGATGAGGCGCTCGTAGGCATCAGGGAGTTTCACGTTCTATAGGTTTGGGGATCTCACTGATACCACTGTGCATCGCCACTCAGGCCACCATCCCTTTAGAGCCTTCCCCAGATGGTCCTCCCTATAGCTACCTTGTATCTGTTGCCATAGGTCAGGTCTAGTTCTGATTCCTCAGGGTTGAAGAACATGCCGGGCTTCTTGGTCATCATCTTGGTATACACAGCCTCATTGGGCTGCACGCGGATCACCAGCTCATTGCGTTTGCACTGCTGGTGGAAGATGTCGCCCGCCACATCTCGGAACTGCAGTCTCACCTCAGCCTTACGCTCATTCAGGGCTTTGCCACAGCGCAAGATAAAGGGCACCCCTGGGGGGCAGGGCTGGCTTCAGAGACTGGCTCTTCGACAGTCTTGCGCTGTGTGTGTGTATGTATGACTGAGAGCTCCCATGCGCGTTTGTATGGATATGCGCATACGCGTGTCTGCGTGTGTGAATGTGTACATGTGGGATGAGCATAGCCAGGGTGGTGTCCCACATGTGCTAGGCCTCCCTCTCCAGTGACCCCTGCTGCTGAGCATCATGTATCTGATTCCACTAAGAAGTGTCTTTTTGAGGGCATGCCCAGCCCTTCCTTGCTGGCCCCTGAAGGTATCACCTACCATCCCACCGCTCATTCTCCACATAGAGGACAGCAGCTGCGAAGGTGGCTGTGGTGGACCCCCGGGGCACTGTGGGGTCATCCAGGTATCCTTTGGTAGCCTCGCCTTCTCCACCGGGGTTCCCCACATACTGGCCTAGGACCACGTTGTTCGCTTCCACCTCTGAGATACATTTCAATACCTTGACCTGGAAGAAAACCAGCAGACCGCGAGCCCTTTGGTAACAGAGTGGGGTGTAGGGCAATAGACATAAGCCTGATGCCTTGTCACAGAGGGGCCTTCTATGGAGCATGGCTACTGGGGACCTGGTGGACATGCTTCCATTTACCTTCTCATCACGGACATCATCTGAATCTGTGGAGGCCGGCTTTTCCATGGCCACAAGGCACAGCATCTGCAGGAGGTGGTTCTGCATAACGTCCCTAGTAGCAGAAGAGTCAGAAGCTCTCGTCAAACACCACTTCCAGGGTGGGAAGATGGGGAGAAGAGTAAGCACCCTGTTGGTCAGGTACTAGGGCCCCCATGGTTCATAAACAAGGAAATAGACAGTGACCCTACGACTGATGCTGGAAACCCTTGGGGGCTTGGCTGGATAGGAGTGACACCCCTTGAGAGCTCAGGGTATAAGGATGAGCTGAGCTGGGTTCTCACCTGATGATCCCAAATTCATCAAAGTAGCCTCCACGGCCCTCAGTACCAAAGGGCTCTTTGAAGGTGAGGATCACACAGGCTATGTTGTCCCGGTTCCAGATGGGGCCAAAGATCCTGTTGGCAAATCTGTTGGGGGAGGTGCAGGAGAAAGGCTGACACTCGAGAGGTTGTGGAAGAGTTCCTGAGTGGATCCACCCTTAGGCTTCCATAACACAGAGGTTGCATCTCAATTAAATTATACTGCAGGCCTAGAGCCTGGCACCCTGCCTGGATTTGAGAAGAATTTGTCCTTGGGGTAATGGGACAGGTGGAGTTCCTCATAGAGCCACCCTTACCTTGGTTCCCTTCCACCCCATTCCCTGTGCACCTGAGCACCATGAGGTTCTGGACCATCTCCTTGCCCAGATAGTGGTCGATGCGATAGATCTGGTCCTCACGGAATAGAGATGAGATGTGGTTGGACAGCTGGTCTGAGCTCTGTAGGTCTCTCCCGAAGGGCTTCTCCACAATGATGCGGTTCCAGCCTCTGTTGGGAGCATCCAGTCATGCTATTCCCCAAGCCCTTCCTCAGGAGTGGGCCCAGGGCCATGTCACTCTGACTCTTTCCCCAGGGAGCCAGACTTTCATCCCCTTTGCACTCTCAGGTGACCCAGGGAAGCTCTGCTGGCTGCCCTTGCTTATTACTGTGCACAGACAGCATCTCTGAAGCCTTCCTGCCTACATGCTGAGGACTAGAACAGTTCATAGGCCTTGCCCGTGTTGGTATTAGGGTGGCATGGTTGGCACATTCTTGGACAGTCTTGTTCCTCTCCTGCTCCATGCCAGGCCGTCAGTGGGGCAGGAGTAGCCCAGAGGCCAGTGGAGGAGGAGGGAAATGGGACATCAAGGGCACAGCTCCCTCACTAGTTTGATTCTCATGATTTTGAGATAGGGGCTCATGTATCCCAGGCAGGCCTGGAACTTGCTATGTAGCTGAGGATAGTCTTAAACTGATTCTTCGGCCTTCATCTCCCGGGTGCTGGGATCACAGGCATGTGCCATTCCTCCTGCTTTCCGCTATTGCTTTTATGTTCTTATCTCACTGTCTGCTCAGGTTGGCCTGAAGTCCTGGGCTCAAGGGATTGCTTGCCTCAGCCCTTGAGTAGCTGGGACTATAGTCATGGCCAAAGCAACTAACTTCTATTGTTTTTATTTATTAAAAAAATTTTTTTTTGAGCCAGGTGTAGTGACACACGCCTTTAATCCTAGCACTTGGGAGGCAGAAGCAGGCAGATCTCTGTCAGTTCGAGACCAGCCTGGTCTCAACAGCGAGTTCCTGACTAGCTGAGGTTACAGGGAGGCCCTGTCTCAGACTGAAAAAAAAAAACAAAAAAACCAAAAAAACGAAAACTTTTTTGGAGACAGGATCTTGTTATGTAACCCAGGATGGCCTTGAACACATTGTGATCCTCCTGCCTTTTGAGTACTGAGATTACAGATATGTGCTACTACACCCAGCTTAAACCTTTAAAACTATTTTTATTTTATGTATATGAGTGTTTTGCCTGCATGTAAGTGCACCATGTACATACAATGTCCACTGATACCAGAAGAGGGTGTTGGGTACCCTGGAACTGGAGTTACTGACAGTTGCTAGCAGCCATGTACGTGCTGGGAACTGAACCCAGATTCTCTGGAAGAGCAGCCAGTGCTCTTAAAGGCTGAGCCATCTTTCTAGCTCCTGTTTTTTGTTTTTTTGAAACAGGGTCTCACTATGTAGCTCTGGCTAACCTGAAACTCACTACGTAAACCAGGTGGCATCAAACTCACAAAGATCCACCTATTATTGCCTCCATGGTGCCGAGATATAGAGTTGTGTGCCACCATGCCTGGTTCTTTTATTTTTTGAGGCAGACTCTCACTCCATAGTCCATGCTATACTTCAACTCCCAGCAATTTTCTTGCCTCAGTTCCCATGGTGCTGGGATCAGATGTGTGATCCACCATGCTCAGCTCACCGTTGACTTTACTTTTTATTTAATTAAATTAATTAATCAATTAATTTGTCTTTTTGAAACAGGGTCTCCCTGTAGCCCCAGGTGTCCTGGAACTCACTATGTAGACCAGGCTGGCCTTGAACTCACAGAGATCCGCCTGCCTCTGCCTCCCCAGTGCTTAGGTTACAGGTGTACGCCACCACACCCGGCTGATTTTACTTTTTAAATTTAGTTTTTTAAAAAATTATTTTTAAATTAAAATCTTTTTGATTTCTTTTTATTTTATGTGTATGAATGTTTTGTCTGCATGTAAATGCTCCATATCATGGGCTGCAGAGGCCAGAAGAGGGCATCAAATCTTCTGGAACTAGAGTTACAGATGATTGTTAGCTGACATGTGGTTGCTGAGAAAGGAACCCTGGTCCTCTGTAAGAGCAGCCAAGGCTCTTAACTACTGAATTATCTCTCCAATCCCTCTCCATTGATTTAAAAGAGCAGGTCCCTTTCTTTGCAGCTCATAACCAAGCAGTAAAGTGGCTTTCTGAATTCAAAATCAGGAGCAAAAGAAAGATTTCTAGCCAGCATTGACCATACGTGGAGTAACACTGCTACCTTGTGGGCCTGTGAGAACTCTGGAAAACTAAACAATGAGCAAGCGCCAGTGAGTGATTTGTGGGGCAACACTGACATCTTGTGGTCATGTTGGGAACTGTAACAAGAGACTGTTGATTTGTCAGAGCTGTGTAGGCTACAAGCCACAGAGCTGTTAAGTGTATCTGTAGTAGCAAAGGCTGTTAGAAAGTGCCAGTATTTACAGCTTGTTTCCTTCTTTAGAGAGCTAATTCATGTGGAGAACAAATAGGGAGAATTCATCTTTTCGGGTTGCCTAGACTGGCTTGACTTGGGGGCTGTTCACAGTAAGGAAAGTCAGAACAAAGGAAGAAAAGCCTTACGTCTGGCTCATGCAGGTCTCTTGGATGTTCTTAGTGACAGCTTCATACACTGTGGGGGGCAAGGCCAGGTAGAAGAGTCGGTTGGCCTGCATCCCCTGGTGCAGGGCATTCATGTGGCTGTTGAGGTGCTTGTAGGAGGCTGGATCATCATACTGGCCGGCCACATAGGAGTTACGGGCAAAGAACTCCTCCAGCTTAGGTCTTTCTTCTGGGGTGGCCTGGGAGAGACGGGCAGACAGAGACAGACAGATGACAGATATCATCTTCCACTTCCCTCAGAGGTCACACATGCTCTGCCTCAGAGGAGTGGAGGGTCTCATCTGTCTTCACTTCCTCTCTTGTCTCACAGCCAGGGTATGCCTCCCTGGAGGCCTGGGGAAGCCTCACTTAGAACCCAACTGTCCTGGCCCCACACAGTGAGGACGCTGAGGCAGGCAAAAGGAACACTGAATGCAGGTGTGGTGAGTTACAGATGCAGGCATCCTGTATATACTCAGGTCCCTTATGCCATAAGGCAGTTTTCAGGAAAATGTGACCTGGGAGAAGTACATTGGAGAAGGATGTCTCTCCAAAAATCTTGACAGCAAACTATAGTTGCTGAAGCAATGCCAAGGTGACACACTTCCTGGGGGGGGGAGGCACTTGGAGGAGTCCTTCCAGCTTCTGGCATGTCCCAGTGTGGCCCCAGAGCAGAGCAGGATAGAACCAGCAAGGCTGGGTCAGAGTGGAGCTGGGAAACATCTGATGCTGGAGAGGCCACCCTTTCCTGTCTCTCTCAGAGGTCAGGGAGGTGGTGATATGAGCAGGTAGACACAGCTTTTGAGTGGTTGCAGGGCAGGGCCAGAATGTGAGGTAGCAGAACTTGAATGTTCTGGGTGGCCCTGCCTCTTGGCCAGTCAAGTAAGAAGGGGAGGAGGGAAGTGTTGCTTATGATGGAGTGGAGACATGTCTCCTCATGGGCTGCCTAGGGATAGTACTGTTGGGTGGTAGGGGAGAGGACAGAACAAGGCTGTGTAACACCCCAAAGCCACTCACTTTGAAGAAGGGCTCACTCTGCTTTCGGATGTCATCCACTGTGAGGCGGGATCGGGCATAGCCCACAATGAAGGTGTCTTCTGGCAGAAGGCCATCTCGGAACAGCCACCTGAGGGCACAACACAGCTATAGCCAGGGTGGGGAGGGAAGGCCAGGCCAAGCCAATTCTCTTGGTGTAGAGCTCTTGAGGGTCGAGTGGAGATTTACCTACCAGATGGTGGGGTAGATCTTCTTCTTGGCCAGGTCACCCTACAGTGGAGGGAACATGTGGTCAGGAAAAGCTGATGTGAGCTAGATCATTCCCCACCAGTAATGATGTAGGCAATCATTCAGGGTGACCACTCAGCTGCAAGTATACTACTTTATCCCCATATATCACCAGAGGATACCTGAGATTCAAGCCTGCCCCAGCTCTGTCCCAGTGCAGGTACACAGATGAATCTTCCATGTTCAAGATAAAAAATCTGGACACTGAGTTCATTAGAACTGAAGAGTGATGGAGGTAGCACAAAGCCAAACTGTGAGATGTGGCCTCAAATGTCAAAGTTGCAAAATGGGGGCTAGAAAGTGATGAAGATACTCCTTCAATTTATGAAGTTCGAAAAATGACAGCAGGTTGAGCATAGTGGTCCAGAGTGAGACCTTGTCTCAATAACAACAACAAAAACCAGGCTTGGTGGTATACAACTGTACCTTAACACATAAGGAGACACTGTCTCAAAACCCTTCCCCCAAGTCAGAATATAAAACCAAAAAAGAATTATAAAGAAATAATGAAAAATGCAAATATAATGGGAAATTTGGGCTGGGGATGATGCTCAATGATTCTAGTGCAGGCACAAGTCCTTGGTTCCATCCCCATTACCACAAAAGCAAGCAAACAAACAGTAGAGAAAACCAACAAAAGACAGCTGGAGGGTGGGGAGGAGTGCTGTGAAATGCTGTTTTCTGGACATGATATGGCCTTGGCAATCTTGAACTCACAACAGCTGTGGCTACCAGCATACAACCTAGACAAGATCAAGGCACTCAAGTTCCAATATCAACAGGGGAGGGGTACATGAAGCCCCACCCTTAACTGAGGAACTACTGGCAATTAATGGATGAAGGGGGACTGTCATTTCTCTTCAAGGGTATGGCCCCTGGTAGGTTGCTCATGCTCCACTGGATGGCCCCATGGCCATAGTGGGTCGTACTAACTGGACTCTGGGTTATAATAAAAAGAAAGGAAGTTGGGAAGGAGATGGGGCTCAGGAGGACTTAGCAGAAGAAGGGATGATGGATAAGATCATGATACACTGTATATATCAATGAAGTTCTCAAAGAATATATTAAAATATTAAAACTAAACAAAAATGAAACTAAACAACAATAACAACAAAAAAATCCCAAACAAAATAAGAGCAGCAAAACCCCCAAACAAAGAAAAGTTGGGCATGGTGGCACAGGCCTATAATTCCAGTACCTGGAACAGGAAGATCAGGACTTCAAGGCCAGTCTGAGCTATATCATAAGACTTTGTCCCTGTCTCAAACCAAAAATACTTTTTTTAAAAAGTATTTTATTATTTTTATTTTATGTGTATGAGTGCATTGCCTGCATATAGGTTAAGTGTACCCATGTCATGCAATGCCCGCGAGGACAGAAGAGGCCTTTGGATCCCCTGGAACTGGATTTACAGACAGTTGTTAGCTGCCATGTGGGTGCTGGGATTGGAACCTGGGTCTTCTGCAAGAACAACCAGTGTTCTTAACTGCTGAGCCATCTCTCCAGGCCCCATCTTTCTTTCTTTTTTTTGAGACAGGGTCTTGCTATAGCCCTAGCTGGACTGGAACTCCCTAGGTAGACCAGGTTGGACTCAATCTCACAGAGGTCCACCTGCCTCTGCTGGGATTAAAGGATCACATCACCACACTGGACTTCTTTTATTAAGTATTCTATTTTTATTATTTTTATGTATATGAGTGTATTGCCTGCATGCATGTAAGTGCGCCCCTGTTGCACAATGCCTGTGGAGGTCAGAAGAGAGCATCAGATCCCCTGGAAGTGGAGCTATGGATGGTTGTTAGCTGCCATCTGGGTGCTCTTATCTGCTGAGCCAGCTCTCCAGTCCCTTCTTTTAGTTTTTGAGACAGGGTCTTGCCATGTAGCCCAGGCTGGTCTTAAACTTAGCATACATCCCTGGCTGGCCATGAACTGTAGATAATCCTCTTGCCTCACCCTTCCTAGTGTTGGATTACAAAAGTGTGCTGCCATGCCCAGCAAGATGGAGAAATTTCTAAAAAAAATTCCAACGAACCATAATGGAGCAAGTGACCTGAGTAGGGCCAATGATTACACATGCTACCCAGTGATTTCTACGAGAATCAAGGAAGAAAGGACTCCAGTCTGAAGCAAACTCCCCTTGAATACAGAAGAAAAGGGAACATTCCTGAAGCCACTTCCAGAACCTTAACCTGCATTACTACAGTACTACAACCTGAGGACATAGCCTCCTCATTCACATGCACACAAAGCAGATGCAAACATCAGACAGAAAACATCAGCAAACCTAATCTTTCAATGTTAGAAGATATAACACACCAGGACCGAGATATGTGTAAATAAGAGGTTGGCTTAAGAAAGAAAAAGCACAGGGCCAGGAGAAAGAGAGGGAGGGCAGGTTGGAGGTGGATAGGATCAAGATACATTGTATACATAAATGAAATTGTAAACGAAGCAAAAAAAATTAGAAAGAAAAAAAACCCAAAAAACAAAAAGCAAAGGCTGGGGAGATGGCTGTCAATAAAGCATAGCTGTGCAGACCAGGACCTTGCTTTGGATTCCCAGAACCTAAATAACTGGGCGTGGGGGTAATGCATCAGTAACCCAGCATTGGGGGTGGGGAGAGGCTGATCTCTGAAGCTCAGCAGTCAGCTACCCTAGCTGAACTGATTCGTTTCAGGTTTATAGAGAGATCCTATCTCAAAAATAAAGGTGGAGGGGCTGGCTTAGTGGTTAAGATCACTGGCTGATCTTGCAGAGGTTGGAGTCCCAGCACCCACATGGCAGCTAACAACCATCTGTAACTCCAGTTCCAGGGGATCCAACAGCTTCTTCTGACCTCCAAGGGAACTGCACGACATGGATGCACTTACATACATGTAGGCAATACATTCATATACTAAAAATAATAAACAAATAAAAAATAAAGGTGAGGACCAATGGGAGAAAGACACCCAATACTAATTTCTGGTGTCTACATGCACACATGCATGCCTTCATACCCATACTAATAAGTACATGATAGAGATGGGGCAGGGGAGAGGAACAAAAAACAAGCAACTGATGATGGCACATGACTATAATTCTAGTACTTAGAAAGCTGAGGCCAGAGATTGTCTGTTCAAGGATAGTAGTCACTGTGGGTCAGATGTAGTGGCATATGCCTACAATCCCAGCTCTTATGATGCTGAGACAGGAGGATGGTGAGTTCAAGGCCAAACTTAGCTACATAGTAAGAACTTTCTAAAAAATAATAGGGGGGCTGGAGAGATGGCTCAGCGGGTAAGAGCACTGACTGCTCTTACAGAGGATCTGGGTTCGATTCCCAGCACCCATATGGCGGCTACGAAGTGTCTTTAACTCTAGTTCCAGGGGAATCTGACGCCCTCTTCTGACCTCCGTGGCATTGCACAACACAGGTGCACTCACATACATGTAGGCAATACACTCATACTCATAAAATAAAAATAATAAAATATTTTAAAAAATAGGGGCTGGAGAGATGGCTGACTGGTTAAGAGCAGGTACTGCTCTTTCAGAGGACCTGAATTTGGTTCTCAGCGTCCACATCAGTGACTCATAAGCACTTATAACTTCAGCTCCGGGGGATATGATGCCTCTAGCCTCTCTGGGCATGCACTCATGTGCACATACACAGACACACATATACATAATTAAAAGTAATAAATCTAAAAAAGAAAATAAAGAACAAGAAAATTCAGAAATGTTTAAAAGGTAGGCCATAGTGGCACATGTCCTGTAATTCCAGGACTTGGGAGGTGGAGGCAGAAGGCTGAGGTTCAAAGTCATTTAAAACAACAACAAAATCAACTATTGAAAATCACATTAAGAGATTAAACAAAGAAAAGTTCTATGAAATCTTTTTGTGTGTGTGCTACTGAGGATTGAACCTAGGGCCTCAACCATGCTAAGCAAGTACTCTGCCACTGAACTATAATTCCGGCCCTTTAAAAAAATTTGAGACAGGGTCTCACTTGGGCTGGCCTTGAAGTTACTCTGAAGTCCAGGTTGGCTTGGAACTCCTGCTTCAGCCTCCCATTTCTACATATTGACTTTTAAGATCTAGCAATCTTCTTTTTTTTAAAATAAATAATTTATTGAAAATTTCATATATGCATATAAGGTATTTTGATCAAATCCATGCCTACTTCCTCCCCTCCAACTCCTCCCATATCTCCCCATCACTTTTTTCTGATAACTTCATGTATTCTTTCTTCTTTATTTATATTTTTATGGGGCTTTTGGCTACTCCCCCCTTTGAACATTTAACATTCCCCCCTCTGAAGAGGTAACCCTAAAATCTTTTAAGGATTAGATACAAGCTCCCAAATACTTTCGACATTTTTGGCCTTTGGAACAGAGTATGTTGCTAAGAGGCCCAAGGACATTTTGACTTTTAGCCAAGAAACTGGCTACTTTTCTTTGGGGTTTTTAACCCTAATTGCCTAGCCAATTCCTACCTCCTATTCTTATCACACCATCCTCTGAAGAGGTTACCCAGCTTGCAGGATAGAAGACTGCTCTGGCTTCTTCCATGCGGAACAGGGTCGCAGGGTGAGGCAATTGGAGTACCCCTTCAGTGGGTCTATCTAAAAGACTCCCAAATTGCATAACTCTTGTCTCTAAGGGGAAAAGAAAGCCCTTGAATCATGAATAGGAGATGTGAAGGAGAAGTAAAGGCAAGAGTAATTAGCACTACAAGTTCTAGACAGGGAACTAGAAAAAAGTCAGAACAGGGCAATTTTCAAATGTTCATTTGAGAGTCCATTGGAATTTCTTGACAAGGGCTTCCAAAAGCATCCCTCTATTGGGTTCCTCCTCCTTTTTCTTTTGTCTTCCAAGGCTGGACTCTAGAGTAATGGATTCAGGATTTGCTTTCAGGTATTTTGAGCTGTTGGAATGGTTAGAATGTATCAGTTCCCTCTCAAAGGCTTCTAGATACGGAGAGAAAGCAAATTTATCTA